TGTGCCAGGTCGTTAGCTCTGTCCCCCAAACCTCCAGGTTTGACAAGCTCCCCAGCCTTTCTTGCAGGAGAGCAGGCCAGCTCAGGATCAGGAGTGGGTTTCATCCATGTCAGGCTCAAACATGAAATGAGGAAWTATTTCATAGAAATTCTCTAGTTTGAAAACCTGTAACCAGCTGGGCATAATGGCACACACCTGTAATCCCAGCGGCTCAGGAGGCGGAGGCAGGAGGATTGCAAGTTCAAAGCCAGCCTTAGCAACTTAGTGAGGCTCTAAGCAACTCAGCGAGACCCTGTCTCAAAATAAAATATAAAAAAGGACTGGGGGGCCTGGAGTTGTGATTCAGTGGTATTTGTGAGGCACTGGATTCAATCTTCAGCACCATATAAAAATAAATAAATAGAAAAATAAACAAAATATTTTATTAAAAGGGGTAGGGCTGGGGATGTGGCTCAGTGGTTAAGCGCCTCTGGGTTCAGTCCTCACTACAAAAAAAAAAAAAAAAAGGAAAAGAAAGACCTGTAACCATAGGAGATTTATAGCCAGGCTTCTCTTCCCCACTTTTTGGGGGATATCCTGAAATAGAAGTGAGAAAATAAAATGTAATCTGAGTGGAAACAGACATGGGGAGAGCTGTCCCTAAAGGAAGAAGCTGTTCCCATTGCTCACTTTGTGGAAAATACAGATTTAGCACATTCTTGACTGAGAAGCTGTGACAATTTAGCTCTCATGAAAAGGTATTTCAGGAACCAAAGATGGAATTTTAGGAATGGGGCATTTTTCAGAACACATTCTAAGATCGTTTGAGATTTTTTACTAAGGAAGTTCATATGTGGTGGGTAATGTTTAAAGAACAAGGGGAACAGTGCCTTCTGAGACCCACACAGGCCCTGGCAGGTGCCCCAGGCTGGGCTGTCCTGCTGCAGACAGGCAGGGCTCCCTGGCCACAGTCGGAGCCACACATGCCCTTGGCCCTAGCTGCTGGGAAAGAGGTCCAGGCGAAACCAGGCCAGGTCTCGGGGCTTCTTCCCAAGCTCCCCCAGAGCCTTCTCCCAGGACCCCCGAGTTCTTCAGTAGCTTGGGAAGAACCAGAGTCATACACACCCCTTCCTCCCTGTGGGGCATCTGCTCATTTCCCCACCAAGCAGCCCACACTTTCACTTCCTGCTTAGAGACTTTCCCTTCCACTGACWCAGCTGACTGCCAGTGATAGACATTCTCCTTGGTTCACTATTACCTTATTACTCAGATAAGTCCATGAACTCAGAGCATAGCCCCAGACTTGGGCTCAGAACCTGTATTCCAGGACAGGGCTCAGTGCATCCCTTACTGGGGCTCGGAATGCACACCCTGGACCAGGGCTCAGAACCCACACCTTAGGCCCTGGCCCAGAGCCTGCCTGTCTCAATGCTCAGTGAGAAGCACCCAGTGTGAGAGTGCACATCCTGTTCCTTGAAACTCTKCGGCACACACTGCTACTGGATTCATCCTGCGGGGTCCTGCTTTTCCCTTCATGTCTCCCAGAGGAGCAGTGTAGTCTCAGCATCAAAGTTGAGCCACCATCTCCTAGAGGGGCATCTGCCAGGGCTGGAGGTGGTAAGTGGGGCAGGCCTGGAGGTCTCGGGCTTCTGCCCAAGCTCCCCCAGAGCCTTCTCCCAGGGCCCCTGAGTTCTGCGAAGGCAGGGAAGAGTCCTGATGCCCACACTATTCTTGCCCTTGCTACAGGCTCCACGCAGCACCCACCTCCCCTCAGGACATGTGGCCCCTGGATGCCCACCCACACCCCATATGCATCTGTAGGAAACCAGTGGCAAGCAGCTGCCCCCTGATGCCCTGCAGAGCTGCACCCTGCTCCTAGCCCCTGCAGGCCCAAGTGCCCACCAGTCTGTGTGATGCAGAGGACTGCAGTGGGGCCCACTGTCATTGTGCATTTTCATTGCTTTGATTGACATGTCTGCTCGTCATTGTTAGCTCTCATTGCTTTGATTGATGTGTTTGGCACTACAAAGTTAACATCTGGGCCCTAAAGAACATGGCTGGCTTTTTTGCACCTTGAGATTTGCTAAAACTCCCTGTGCAGTTAAATAAGTCTCTGGTCAAGGCCAGAGGAGTCAGCAGTGGGTGTTAGCAATAAAGGCCAAAGGTTAGGGACTCAGATTCATGGGGTCTTAGAGCTTATGAAGGAGGCAGCTGTGGTATAGAGGAGGGACCTTGAGTCTGACCCCTCCCTCCAGCCTCACCCACTCCTGAGGGAGCCTGAAGAGTGCAGCTCCTTCCACATGGTCTCTAGGTAAGCCTTGCCACCATCAGCCAGGTTCCAGCTCTACACACTCTTCTTGTCCATGTCCAGGGAACATAAATGGACCCCAAACCTAGAGGATGCTTGGAGACCATCTACTAAAACTAAATTGCATAAATCCTTTGACATAGCAAAAAATAACCTGGGAGTTTGCCCTGCAGATACTCGCTTCTCAGTAAAGGCAGCCCACATGCCTAGAGAACAGAGTACCATCACTGCTTAGCAGCTCCACGAGGGGGTTCTGAAGTCCGTGCTTCTCACTTGCCCTGCCAGTTCAGACACTGATGCCAAGGCAGACCACAGAGATCATGGGGATAGGCAGAGACTGACACATTCTCAGTGACCAAGAAGCATGGTCTAAGGGGCCAAGGCTCCTTCAGTAGCTCAGCATTACTGGAGAAGGGTGAGAGGCTACTGAGAAGCTAGAAGCCCAGAACAGGCCAGAGCCCCAGATGCATAGCCAAGCGGAGGAGCAGCAGTCCTGCAGACACTGCTCCCTGCAGCCCTGCCTCAGAGGGAGACAAGTACATGTGTGTGTGTGTGTGTGTGTGTTGCTGGGGATTGAACCCAGGGCCTTGTGCATGCTAGGCAAGCTACCAAGTGAGCTATATTCCCAGCCCAACAAGAACTTTTTGAGTCACTAACAAAATGTACCCATTATTTGACGAGGCCCTTGATAAGAGATTGAGAGCACCAATTTGTGAGCATAAATTCCATTCATTAGAGCAAATCAGAATCTGGAGCCTTGAGGACTGGCTTTGGTCTTTGTCAGAAACTTCAAGCCCCCAGCCTCTGCCCAGCCCTGGCTGCTCTGTGCACAGTGCTCCCCTTTCTGCATGCTGTGGCTCAGGCCCTGGCTCCTTGGCTTCCAGGAGACCACAGTGGCTGCCACTGACAGCAGTGCTGCGAGGTGGCTTGAGCTCCTCGCACAGCTCAGCTCCTGTGGGGGTGGCAGCAGCAGACTGGGTGATGCAGGAAGGTGGGCCTGGCCAAGGGAACAAGGCCCAGCCAGCCACAGGTGGCTGCTGTGGAACCCGCCCTCTGTGCCTCACACCTCTGCACACTGGCCGAAGGAGTGGGCACTGCTCCCCAGACACAGCCTCAGCAGGTCGGCCTCAGGTGTCTCACAGTGCGCCCACCCAGGGCCACCACTCTTGTCATTGCCATCTGGTGCCCATGGTCTGAGARCCTCTCTTCTCAGCCCTGGGTGGCATGGCTGAGGGCTTCTTTGTGCACCTGGCCTTCTGGAACCTCTGGCAGGTGGGGAGCAGCTAAGGATGGGGTTTGGCTGCAGCAGGCTCTGGTTTCTGGGAGTCTGGCCCCCTCTGGCAATGAGCTAGTTCTGCTGGTGGCTATCAGAGAACTCTTGCCCACCACCCTCTCTGCACCCTGCTCTCCTTCCTTCTTTTGTTTTGCCTGACTTTCCTACCCATGAGGCCCAGGGCTTATTTCCTTTTACTCCTTCAGTCTTCTGTCTTTTGCAGCCCCCTGAGTGAGAAGAGCCAAGATTAGCTGAGGCTGTGGACAGACATCCTGGGCTGCTGTGAACTAGCTGCCCCTCAGTGCCCGGTGTGACTGGAGCTGGGTCTGAGGAACAGGCGGCTTTGAAGAGAAGGGTGTGAGGAGGAGAGGTCCTGGCCAGGACCTCTCACCAGCAAGGACAGAGAGGCTCCCTAGTCCATGCAGAGTAGGCCACCATGAGGTGCAGACCCCAGGGAGCCAGTACAGAGAACACATGTATATCAGGGGTTCCGTGGGAGGGAGCCCTCCATCTGGGCCCAGAAACTTGTGTCAAAACTAAGAGGCTTCACATAAATGTGAAGTGTCGTGGGTGTTTTCTCCGACACAGGGAGATGGCCCTCTTCAGGACTCCAGCCACCAGCTGGCTGCCCCTTCATCTTCTTCCAACTTTCAGAACCTTTAGACGAAGCCCTTGGCACCCTCTCTGCCCAGTGAGGTCAGTCCGCTGTCTTACTCTGCCATGGTCTTCCATCAGGGCAGCAGCAGTGCCCCGTCTGGCCACGCGCCACGAATGGGCAGAACTGAGTCCTGAGGACACCCTCCATCAGGCTGAGCTGCTTGTGGTGCCAAGGTGCCAGGAGAGGGACCATGGTGTGGGGGTGGAGCTATCCTGGGACCCGCGAAGCAGCCAGTTCTCTGCCTTGCAGTTGGAATTGGAAGTGTGACAAAAGGTGGATCATCTGCAGGGACCCATCTGGGTGTCATGGAGGACACACAGTCCTGCCCTGGAAGCGCATGTCCCAGGCCCTGCTGGCCCTGGCCCTGCTAAGGCTCTCAACCGGCCACAGCACCCCAGTCGCCCATCACTGGGTTTGGTGGCCAGGCAGGCCAGGTGCCTCTGTTTCAGGGAGGCGACTGCACCTGTGCTGACCGCAGGTGTGCCTGGGCCTCAGCCTGGATGGGCAGGCGTGGTGAAGTGACCCCTCAGTCTTGCCCATGTATCTGTGCTTGAGGACCCTGTAGCAGTTCTGCCAGGGCTTGGGAACTAGCAGGGAGTGTGAAGGTAGCTGGGAGGTCTGGGGCTGGGGCTCAGGGGTAGAGCACTGGCCTAGCATATCCTTGGAAACAGCTGGTCTGCTGTAGGGGCAGGGCCTGCAGCCTGCGGTTCAGGCTGTGCTGGTGAGCTTTGCCAACTGCTGTGTGCCATGCTTCTCACTGTTCTCTCTCTGGGCTGTTTCAGAAGAGGCCGACCACTACAGCTTTGGGGCTGGCACCCTATCCAGGAAGAAGAAGGTGCTGGTGACCCTGAGGGAGGAGGGTCTCCGCCGTCGGGCCCACCTCGACATCAGCCTGCCCCATGACTTTCGGCCTGTGTCCTCCATCATCGACGTGGACATCCTCCCCGAGACGCACCGCCGCGTGAGGCTGTACAGACATGGCTGCGAAAAGCCTCTGGGCTTCTACATCCGCGACGGCACCAGCGTCCGGGTCACCCCCCATGGGCTGGAGAAGGTTCCAGGCATCTTCATTTCCCGCATGGTCCCGGGGGGCCTTGCAGAGAGCACTGGACTGCTGGCSGTGAATGACGAAGTCCTGGAGGTAAACGGGATTGAGGTGGCGGGGAAGACGCTGGACCAGGTCACAGACATGATGATCGCCAACAGCCACAACCTCATCGTCACTGTCAAGCCCGCCAACCAGAGGAACAATGTCGTCCGCAGCAGCCGCACGTCCGGCAGCTCTGGCCAGTCCACGGACAGCACTGCCAGCCACCACAGCCTGCCAGTGG